CCGCCGCCCTTGTAGCTAGCAGCCCAATACGTAATTCACTACACCACCAGGGCTCAGAGTAATCATAGCCTACTCTATTGAAAATAGATTAGAGGGGACCAGAGTCAATAGAAGGAGTCTGGGTAGGAGACCTTTGTAGTAGGACAGAGGGAAAAGGGTAGGACTAAGGGCCACAGTGGATAGGGGGAGGGAATTCTCTGGAAAATAGAACTGGACATTCTCTAGATCTTCGATGTCATTGACCGGGAGAAGTGTGCGTCTCACCGAGTGGACTGTGTGCTCCCTGAAACCAAGGACTGGGTTTCCTTTTCTGTGTTCTTTGGGCCTAACCTGGGTCTGCACGAGGGTGTGCTCAGCGTGAGTTTGTAGCTCCGGAGATAACAGGGTGCAGCGGGAGAAGAAGGGATGAGAAGGGGCAGAGGCCACTGTCGGGCACTGCACTTCTCTGGTGGATGGCTCTTCTCTTCATAGTCTTCGTCCCTCCCACCAGATGACTGGGTAAGAGCATGCACAACGTGTAGGAGAGCCTTACTCAGAGGTCTGTCCATCTTGTCGTTCTGCTTGTAAGAGCGAGCCATCTCAGAAGCAGGAACAAAGACCCCCACTCTCAAGATAGAAGCGCCACCAGCAGAACTCATGCGGTGTCCCTGCCGTAAGTGGCAGAGCCACTGGAGGCCGTGAGACAGAACACAGGAGCAGGGCCAAGACGGGCGTGGAACAGGCAGGTTTCCTGGCTCATGGAAGGAGTAAAGGGGTCACGTGGCAGAGAGCCGAGGACCAGGGAGAGTCGTCCCTGCCAACGTCTTGTAAACCTGTCGACGTCCTTCATAAGCCCCGTCATCCTGAGTACTGTCGGGCCTCTGCTCATAGGAGTCATCCCAGCGCAGATGTGCAGTTATGTTCTCCCTCCCTCTGATGCCGCCGGGAGTCAGACATGACCCTCGCGGCACCTCTTTGCCTTTCTGGGCATGGGAAGGAGGGGTCATGTGAGGACTACTCTGAGACCACATGAGGACTATGGTGGTTTCTTATCTTGGCTGGGCCCAAGGGCTACCCTGCACGAGAGGGTCACCAAGAGACAGAATGAAGGGGAGACAGACTCCGTAGCACAAAGGAGGTAGAGGCGTCAAGCCACCAGGCCCTGCTTTCAAGCCTTACCTTGAATCTCTCCCACCTAGGGAGAGCCTGTGTGGGCCGCACCATCGTTTCAGAGTGACTTGCCCATGGACCTGGCCTTGTTGGGCACCCTGGTGGCCCTGTGATATGCTGAACCCCTGCCTTGTAAAAGAACAACCGGAGTGACCATCTCAACAATTTTGTCAGTCCTGATTGACCTCAGCTAAGTCGTTTGTGGGCCTTTTGGGCGTGATTTCACAAGTGATAGGAGTGGGCAGGGGGAGGCTGAGGTCTATGGCACATTTCATCTCTGTGGTCCTGAGTCTGCCCAGTCCGAGCTCCCTCGATGGCTCTCACTCTGTGGCGCCTGTCATCTCTGTGGTCCTCAGTCTGCCCAGTCCGAGCTCCCTCGGTGGCTCTCTGTCTGCCCAGCCCGAGCTCCCTCGGTGGCTCAGTCTGCCCAGCCCGAGCTCCCTCGGTGGCTCGCTTGATCCCAGAGTTGTCCACAGTTTGACTGCTGTCCTCCTTGTATCTGGACATGAGGTCAAGCCAGCCACGGGGAGGACCCGAGGACGGCGATCTCCCAGGCATGCTTTCAGGTCTGAGTGCTGACGATGCTCTCTCCCCCAGCCCTCCGAAGCATTCTGCTTAAACAAGCATCATTTATGTTCTGCAGGAGAACCATTCCCCACCGGCTGCTCTCTCTTCACTCTTATGAAACTGCACGTTTAACTTCTGTTTACACAGATATAAACCATCTATTTAGGAGCAGCCTGGGAAATCCTTGGCTGAAGATGGATTTTGGCTTGGGAAAACACAGAGGTGAGTGACACCGGTGTATTGTGCTATCAGAGGCGTGACAGATTTGGTTGATTGAAGCCAGGTGCTTCGTGAACGCCACGTGAGGGAAGCTGCAGACCTCGGGTTGACCTGCAAGTGACAGCCCAGTTTTTGTGCTAGCAAAAGCTTACTTGCCAGGACCTGTCTTTCAGTTTAGGGGTGGTAACAGTTGTAAGCCTTGGGGAACTGTGGACAAGACATTGAGGTTTGGCCAAAGATAATAGGCTCCAACGAGCTCACATACATTTGACTTGCACACGTGGTAAGAAAGGTGGGTGGTGGGTGAGGGCAGACAACAGTCTGAATTTAAATTTCAAGATTCGCCAGCTCCATTAGATAGTCCCACCTTCACTGCGCCCTTCCAGGCTTAAATCCACATTGATATTTTCCTAAGGGACCATATTGGACACCGGTAGATAACCTTTCCTGATTTAAGTTGCTTTCTCTGGATCCCGAATCTTAATCTTGAGCTCGGTAAGTCATAGTTACTTTGATGAGCAAAACTGAGGCTCGCTGAGAGATAAAACCCAAGAGGGTGCCACTTTCTTTTCCTGATTTCACCTTTCTTGGGTTAATTCACCTAAAAGTCAGTCTTTGTTGGGCTTATTTCCTGAAAACACCATCCTTCTCTCTTGCTATGGGTCCCTTTACTCTCTGTGAATGGCTTGGCCACTACTGGGGGCTGCGATGTCAGCCGCTGGGCGTGATCAGCCACTCCTAGGGAGAAAGATGAGCCCTTTTAGTCCTGTAGGTACGGTTATGGGCCCCACAAGGGACCGCTCTCCTCTGCCCTGCAGGGTCACTGTGAGTTGGACCTGACTCGATGGCAGTGAGTTTGACTTTTTGGAAAGAGTTTTGCCTATTTTGGGGAGCCCTGTGGACATATTACTGAGATCCAATTGGTCTCATTTTAGTTGAGAACAATTAAGACTGGATGATTTTCTGTAGATTTGCAGGGTGAGAGGAAGGAGGGCAGCATGCTGTTCAAGAGAAACTAGCAGACTCGCTGAGATACCCTTCATTCGACCTTACATGCTATTTGTATTTTTGGTCAGGAGCAGTGTTCCTTCGTCAGTTGACAGAGCATGTCCATTCCATGTTCTCTGCGTGTTTGGGATTCTGCCTAGGCTGTGCATTGAGATCACCGCATCTGTCCTAGGAAACGTGTCTGCACCTTTGCCAACATCCTGGCACACCTGTGAGTTGGCTACATGGATGATTTGTTTGCTTCCGGGACACAGACCACGGCTCCTTGTGGCCTCCATGGTTCACACGATCTCAAAGTCCTGGGCTTTGAAGGCACGAATGTTTTCTCTGAACCACAAATGGGAATATAGCAAAGATGGCGTGAAGGCATGGGGTGAAGTAGTTATGCTTACTGGCTGCCAGCCAGCGCTTCATTTCTCCAGCTCCCCAAGGGAGAGCCCGGATGACAATCACACCCATCAGCATTCGGTGAGCGCTCCCTCCATGCCAGGCACTCTGAAACCTTGTGGTCATGAATTCTGAGCTCACAAGAACCCTAGGAAAGATCCTACCTTTGAAAAAGATGGGGAAGCTGAGGCATGAATGCGTGACAGTGACTGTGGGCCATTCTGATGGGCCCATGATTTCCTGTGGCTCAGCTTTATAAAACCTTGGAATTATTGGAGGCTGAGCAGGGGAACTCTAGTAGGAAGAATGATCATTAAGACTCTAAGCCTTGGTCCTGTGACTGGCGGTGCCTTGGGTAGGGGTCTCTCCTTACGGAACCTCAGTAGGACTTGCTTCAGTGGCTAGTATGTGAATCTTAATAGTGTTTGCTATGACTTTTTTTTTTAAAGCAAAATCTAACAGTCCGTAGAAAAACAGACTGTCAGGAAGAGCTGTGTGTTTCATTCCACAGTGCCAACGGGGAGTGGTGTGCTGGGGCGAGGGGTTGGCCCACAGGCGGAGGTATGCTTTTCAGGATGGGCTCTTCTGGGGCTTCTCTTGTGGTGGCTTTTGGGAGGACATGGCCTGGGCAGGGCTGCCCCTTCACTCCCACCCGTTTCTGAGGACCACCCCCAAATGCTTTAAAATTAGGGAGCCGGGGGCCCTGCTGTCCTAATAGGTTATGCTTTGGGCTGTAAACCTCAAGGTCAGCAGTTCAAATCTATCAACCAGCACTCCAAGGGAGAAAGATGAGGCTTTCTGCTCCAGTCAAGATTGACCGCCTCTGACACCCCAGGGGCCCTGCCCTACAGAGAGGGTAGCTATGTGTCAGCCTGGACTCGGTGGCCGGGAGGAGGGTCTTCGGGAATTTTGAGGAGCTCACAGGAATCGACATGAGTGACAACCCAGTAAACTGTCACCTGCTTTGTCATCCTTGCCATCTGCTAATCCCAAAGCCAGGGAAGGATGGTACGTAAGCCCTGCTGGGCTCGGGTGCAGAGGGGACAGGAGGAAGCTGACCCTCCGTGCTTGAGTCCTGCTTCCAGCAGCTGGGTTGAGAAGGCTTCTCACCTTCAGCCTAAAACAAGATGGGGAGACTGAGCTTCACAGAGAGTCAGACGACAAGATTTAAATAAATAAGCTGTATTATCTGTACAAAAAAATTATATATATATATAAATACAGGCTTGTGTTTTCGAGGAGGAAGTGCCCCCTTGCACATTATTCAGCAGCTCAGATCATCTTGGGGTGCTGCCGAGTCACGATTCACAGGACAAACATTAAATGTACATTCATTCCACGAGAGGCGCAGGCTCGGAAACCCACTTCCCACCCCTACAACAACCAGCCCCTCGGGAGCTGGAGGACGCCACTTATTAAGAGAAATGTCAATATTGTCTACCGGCTTGGAATAGCTCTCGAACTAGAACCAACCAACCACATTAGTAAGCAGTGTGGGATCCGTCACCTTCCCTCTATCCCTAGCTACTCACAAATGAGC